GATCTAAAAGTAACCATTCCAAACCGTTGTACATTTCAAAATGAATAAAAACACCCTGGGTTTGTTGGTGTGTTGTGCTATAACCATGGGTACATTATAAGCTAGCAGGTATCGTAGTATCTTAGGTAATTGCTAGCTACTTGGTCTGATCGGAAAAAAGTCAGATTGTACTTATAAGACAGAGTGACGCTCGACCAGGGAAAAAGAAGTGGTTGGAGACGATGTAGGAGAAGAAAGAGGCGAAAAAAATCAGTCACGTTCGTGCTAGCACGTGTAGCAAGTACGCTCGTCACACTTAGGAATGCATAAGAAGTACAGTCAAGAGCAAGCCCGTGGTCGATTGGTAAAAGCAGTGGCGAAGAACTAACACAACACACCAAGCCACAGTCTACCACGTCAGTGGCTGTAGGCGGATACGTGTTAACTGGGTTCCGCGATTAACACACAATCCCGCCCAGTTAAGTCTTCATAAATTGCAAACGCTAAAACATCTTGATGAATATAGAAACGTGTATGCATATGGAATAGTTGGCGTGGTAGTTTTGTTTCTAGTTGATAAGACTATTGTCATCGTTATTACCGTGGAAACAGATATATCTAGTGTTTAATAATAGTAGATAATTGCAATACGATTTCCAATGGTAATGGGAAGATAATTTGCACGAAAGTGTCTTCATAATACTATTGCCAAGATAGTATAAGTTAATAGAAAAGTGAGAAGGTCAATGCTTTTGGAGTAGTTGGATGTAATTGTGTCTCAAAGGTATCTGTATCTTGACCCCATATTACACATTCACTTTCAAACTTTAACTTTTGGATGCTTCATTCCTACCAGCTGCTAATACTGGTGGGCGAGCACCCCCTCTCGACTACGCCAGAGGCTAGAGGGGAAGGTTTTCTTCAATCTCCTTTGAGGAATAGGGATAGATAAATATAATACGATTTGCAATGGCAATTGGAAGATAATTTACACGAATGTGTCTTCATAATACTATTCCTGAGATGGTATAAATTAATAGAAAATCGAGAAGATGAATTCTTTTGGAGCAGTTCGACGTAAGAGTGTCTCAAAAGTATCTGTATTTTGACCCCATATTACACCTCCACTTCCAAACTTTAACTTTTGGATGCTTCATTCCTACCAGCTACTAATACTGGTGGCCGGGCAATTTTTCTGGACTACGCCGGAGGCTAGGGCAGAAGGTCTTCTTCAGTTTCCTTTGAGGAATCATGGGAATATGCGGATAGATAATTACAATAAGATTTGAAATGGTAATTGGAAGATGATTTACACGAATGTGTATTCATAATACTATTCCTAAGATGGTATAAGTTATTAGAAAAGTGAGAAGGTGAATGCTTTTGGAGTAGTTGGACGTAATAGTGTTTCAAAGTAATCTGTTTCTTGACCTCATATTACACCTCCTCTTCCAAACTTTAACTTTTGGATGCTTCATACCTACTAGCTGCTAATACTGGCGGGCGGGTAGTCCCTCTGGACTACGCCGGAGGCTAGAATAGTAGGTCCTCTTCAGTCCCCTTTGAAGAATCGTGGGTATATGTAAATAGTGGTTGACGTGAGAATGATGAGACTGACGATATGAAGACAGAAGAGAGCGAAAGATTATCTGTGGAGGATCAAGAACCTGCAATTCTTCAGAAATGTGTTGTATTCATATATCGTTAGGGATGATCTACACGCTGAGGATGAAGCAAGTAGATATCCATCAACGTAAATTAATCTTGTTGAAGATAGAGCAAACCTATTGCTGTAACTTTCTTAGACTTGGCCAAAGCCTTTGGCAATGTCAATTAAACGATTCTTTGAAACATTATATTGTCATGGATTAAGAGGCTAAGGTCCTGGGTTCTATTACCGGCGAGGATGTGACAACAGCAACAAATTTTCCCTCATTTACCTGAGAAAGATACAGTACGGAACACTCAATTTTTGATTTCACTTTCAAGGTCTTATTGGATCACTTGTTTTGTGCTGGCCACTTATGAAGTAACGTCTATGAAGGCCCAATTGACGTGGACCCCCATAGGCACGCACCATTTACTCGTTTACTGACACCACTACCGAACTAACTGACCGCGAACTTTACTCGTCCGTCACTACAATTACACTTTTCTATGCAACATTTCTTACAAGTAATACAGTGTGAAATTTGCTTTTAACGTCGATGATCGTTTTTAGAAAGAAAACGTTCCGGCAACATGAATAACGTCCACTACGTTGCGTTTTGCGGTGCGAAGTAAAATATACTTGTTGATTTTCTCCAACTAGGAGAATCATTTCGAGAAAAAGCATTTGCTTCAGTATCAGTTTCGACAGAATACAGACTACTTCGAATTATTTTATTCGATTATGGTAAACCTTGTTGGAGCATACGTAATCCTAAAATGTAGCATCGTACGACAGATGGCGTTTACCGCGCCATTTGTGGTAGTTTCTAAAGCGTTACAAACTTTGTGACAATTACATTGTGTGCGCATTGCGAACATTAAAAATTATGATCTGCGTTTTTGACAAATTTTATGCAAGTAGGTACATTGTGATTAACAATTGTCTTTAGTAGGTACCTATATGTAATCGTTAAATTATGTAGGTTTTTTACCCATTGATTGTCCAATTGATTTATAATATTGATTAGCATTTATCATATTGAGGAGGATGAGATGAAAGGAAAGAGCGGGTCAGCTGTTAGTTTTGTAATGAAAGGTGCTTGTGCAGTTTTGGTACCTAGTTAAGGAGACGGCATTCGTCCGACCGTTCGGGAGGAACCCTAGTGTTAAATATGATCGATGGATGCATCCCAATAATATTATCGCGCGTTTAAATATGAATAGGCGGCTCGTTAGCATATTTTAACATGGTTTTTGGTAACCCTTTTCGAAAATCGATTATCCGCCTGCTCATTTGCATACGATACCGTATACCCTTAATGTGTACACTCGTACGAGAGACCGTGCACATGTTGATTTTGTGTGCGTGTGATTTAGTGGGACAAAAATCGAATTTCGGATGAAATCGAAACCGACAAGTCGGTAGTCACGCGAAAGGTTTTTTTAGAACGATCCAGCCGAGCCTGTTGCTCTCTGTCGTCAAGGTATCATATCTTAAACGTGGCCATTTTGCAACTGCAGCCGTATGTCGTACGACGATTATATTCAATCTGGCGCATATGAAGGTCCTAGATGGATAATCACCACTTTTCTGAAAGAAGATGCAAAAGTTTTTGTGTATTTTGCTCTCGGTATAGTATATAAGGCTCGTGAGGTCACACATTTAGGGAGTCCCCGGAGAAGAACACTTATTGACCACTGACACGGTCGGTTAAAACTAGAGATGGATCGAGTGCCCGGTTTGGATCCGATATGTGGCGGATTCGGAACTTTTTTTATGATTCGGCCAGGTACCCGGCAGTAATAGAGAAAAAAGAAAAAGTCAACACCAGCAATAATAAAAGATCGTCAGTCCTAAGACTGGTTGGACACGCACCTCCGCTCCTTCCTATCCTGAACTAATCTTCGCATTTCCCTAAAACATTTCTAACCTTCTCCATCCACGGTATCCTCATTATTCTCCTGTAACACCACTACAGCGTCGCGCTCCAAACATACACGTTTAACAATCTTTTTCGAATTTCTAAATTAACCGTTCGCGAGCATAGAAGTGACTTCTTTTGATTGAAGGTGACTCGACCCTGTGCTATCCTCTGCTTTATATCCCTACTACTCCTTCCATCCTGACTTATCTGATTTCCTAGACACCTAAAATCAGCCACATCTTCTAATCTTTCGTCTCCTATCTTTATATTCGCTCTTTCCCTACTTTTTCTTCCTTTTGCATTCCATTGGTCAGTAAAAAAAACTTAACCTAATAAAATTGGTAATTAAGACTCCATTGGGATAAGTTCTTTGTCCTAATTTGTATTATTTACTGATTACTGTACTCGATTGTTTGTTATTTTGGTGTAGTTCTTGTATTTAGTTTTTCTCATTAACAAGAATACATAGTATAGTCGAACTGTTACAATTTCTATCACTTGTTGATATATTGTGTTTTAATTGTCGATAACTCATCAACATGATTTTCTCACCTTGCACACTTTTAATATATATAACCACCATAGGCACGTTTCAACGGTTTCAAGTCAACCCTCTTGTTAAAAATCCGCCAACCAAGAATTAAAATTTCATTGGTTTAGTGTTTCTACAACAGTTTAGACCGGGAATTAATTTGGTATCCATCAATTGTAGTGGTTTTGCGAACATCTCTAATTAAAAGTGAAAAAAACTTGACCACTTTGGTTAGGTTATTTCACCACTGTATAATTTTTGTGTTGGCATTCTGAAAATAAGTCGTAACTTTACCTAAAATAATCAAAACATTAAAAATTGAAAGGGGGTAAATATTGTATACAATTAGCGTTATTATTATCGATATTATTGCAGTTGGGCAATGCCCAAAGGCATCATACGCGTATTTCTATGTCCGTATATTGACGGAAGGGTCTGGCAGTCGAGTTACCTTTCTTCCTTGACGAAATAATTAGGTCTCGTATCATGATACCTGATGACAGGACATTTTAAATGTACGAATCATATACAAGGGAATTTAGATTAGGTAGAAAAGTGTTTAATATCAGGATATTGACAATAATTTGACGCAGAATTTGACGTCTTTTGTAGGAACCAACTCGTAATTAGTTTGTGCCCTTTAATCACCTTTAGATTTCTCTTGATGAAAAAATGTTTTAGAATATATTGTGTAAACAAATTAATATACTACAATTTTGAGGCTACTGCCAGCGTGGACCAGTTTTAAATTCTTCCCGGACTCGAATTTTTGTTTCAGATTTCACGTGTTCTTGGCTGGCGTGGCCTCCAGTGGTTACCATGTCAAAACAGTTCAAAAAAACTTGAACTGAAATATATAGAAAGCTGTAGAAATATTATTAGATATATTGTTTAAACAAATAATTTTGTTACAGATAACCATTACGATGTTGGGATAATAGATGATTTTGGTCCTAATACAAACGGGATGTCAGTTCTCGAAAAGGGTGAGTTTACTTTTCCAATTTATGTAATTTTGACTGCTCTAAATTATCATAATTATAAGACTGTAGTTAGAAAATCCTCTGCGTGCACTCGAAGTCTAGGAATCGACGTTTTTTTAGAGTATTTACTGACAAAACTAGGATAATTAATTAGAACCGTACGCCATGAGAAATCCATTATTAGACAGTTAACGTTTTTTTCTAATGGTTTTGAAAACGTTTTAAACGGAGTGTAAATTACCTCGTCTCGTGCTCTTAATTTTATGGGCGAGCTCCGGAGGTCTAGTAGTTTCCATTACTTTTTTGCAAAAACGGAGACAATCGCAAACAAAGAACAATTTCATTTACATAACAGACCCTTTATACCAACGATCGACAATATAGAACTTAAAATTCACAAATCATATTTTATTGTATGCAAATTCGTCGCATAAATATCCGCACCGAATAACGAATTTCTATTTCGAAATTAACATATTATAAATCGTCTTTATTATGTAGAAGGAAAATATATTGCAACGGCGTTAAGCCTTTTTATTGTAAAATCAGCCGCACATTCATACATATACGCGATATACGTATGTCTGTCTGTATGTATGTAAAACTTCGCCCTCTTTAAAAGCGTATGCAAATCGTTCCTGATATTTGATATAGGCTGCTGCCGTTGCAGCCACAACACGCGGCCTTCTGCTGGCTGCTCTTTGCTTCATGCGAATGCTCCAGTACAAACCTCTCTCTTATTGTAATAACTTACCTCTCCTTTGAGGGTAAAGTTTGTCTATCTACAATTCTGTTGAAAATGCCGAATTGTAATAAAGACGTTTCTCCTTTTTCTAGATTCCATATTTAACTACACCTTAAAAATGTGGGTAATTGTCCAGAATTATTGCTCCAGATAGGGTTGCCACCCGTACTTTATTATAAAGTATTGTACTCTATTTCGACTGTGCGTACGTTATATATTACACTACACATAAAGTACGCAAAAATATTTTATTTAAGGCCTTAAGTAAACATCGTAATTTTGTAAGCGATTAATCGAAATTCAGAGTACTTTTACATCAATAATATTGCACAGAAAAATGGCAACTCATATTTACGGAACAACCTGATTTCCCAAATCTGTTCAACGTAGTGTCACTTTTGTTGTCCGTTCCGGCCACTTCAGCATTTACAGAAAGAGTATTCTCTGTTATGAACGCAAAGTGGCGGGAAGACAACAGGAATAAAGCTTCATTAAAACTAATTAAAAATCAAGTTTTAGTTTACTTAAATCTTTGTTTGCTATGTTTAGAGGCTATTAATATATTTAAGAGCGACAGCAATTTGTTACTGGCTGCTAGGTGTCCCAAAAAATTTGTTTTTAAAAACAAAAAATAAAATACTTTATTTTTATCCTGAGTACTTTTTTTTTTTTTGAACCATTTAGTCGAGAAATACTTTACTTTAAAGCCTGAAAATGTGGCAACCCTAGCTCCAGACCATAACCGCTCCAAAAATTTTAATTGAATGATAATTTTTCAAAATTGCCTGCATTGGTGACGTCATTTGTTTGGTTAGGTAGATTTGTGACAGATTCGAGTTTATTTAATGCCCCTGCTCGCCGGAGGTTGGCTGATATGTTAGAGTATTTAATTCACAGAATGTATTAGTTTTATACATTTCCTAGTACAATATCGGAATTTTATACAATTCCTAGATTTAGGGCTCCAAACCAAAATCGCTCCAAAAATACATCATAGGGTATATGGTGTATGCATAACTATTATTTCTTTTTATATTAATAAAAGAATTTTATGTAGTGACAATCGTGAGATAAGGAGATTAAAAGCTTGTATAACTTTTAACACCACCCCCCTTCCGCCCCTGATCTTCTCACCCATCTCCTTCCGTACCTATAGTTTAGAACTGCAATTTGAATTTTGAAAAATTATGATTCCAAAAATTTTTTTTATTTTATTTATAAAGTCATAAAAAACTGTCTCCCCAACCTTCTAGTATCTAATTCTATTACGTAGAATAGCCGGAAATCGACGAAAAAAATTTTGGAGCGATTTTGGTCTGGAGCCCCAATTCTGGATAATTACCACAAAAAATGTTTCAACTTATTTGCTACCACAGCTTTAATCCTTCTACAAATTCTCTGATGATTATTACCACTGTAGTAACTAGTAAACAACAATAATGTTGTTGGGAACCAGGTTCTCCAACCTACCCTACAATGTAAAGCCGTAGAGTAAAGCGGAAAGATCTTTTAGGAATCAATGCCTCATAAGTTTTTGGTATCATTAAATCTAGATTCTATTTGCTTTATATCCCGGAAGTATTATTGTAATAGTTCTCGTTTTAGGTCATCTTATTATTTTATTTATAGACATATACCGATCAAAAAGCTTTTTGTAGTGTATCTATGTACTTTTGATCTGATAAAAATATTGCGGCTATTGTTTCCTACTCATTTTAATTGTTGTTTGAGAAGCAAAGATAGAGAATCAGATTGATAATAATTAAATTAGAAAACACAAGTTACCATCGGGCTAAATTAATATCACGTAATATTTTCGATAAGATTGATTAGGTATCTGTAAATCTGTGTATTGACAATCAGTAGCTAGAGTGTACGTAATTAAGGCACTACAAAGTTTTTCACTAATTAAAAATTTATTTAGGTATAATAGTGCATATATCAGGCCTATCGATTTTACGTGACCGCCTTCAACGAAATTTCATCTTCTGTCAATGACCAATGACGACGCGTATGTCTCTATTTCTTTAAGGGCTCTCCGAACATGTGACCTTACGGCTAACCGAAGATCAACGAATTAAATTTTTACATAGCTACTTATAAGTATGAGAAAGGGTCCGTCCCCTGTACAGCGCATTGACCCTAATTTCTTTTTCGCAATGTCCAAAACAAGAACCCGCTAGAAAGGTTAAAGGTTATGTTTTAAGTACTGGAAACTTTATAGATTATTTTCGTCATGAGCGCGTTAGTCCTCCCAAAGACTAGTTAAACACGTACATTCACTTCTTATTCTTAATATAATGAGCCAATTTTTGAATTTCTCAAAAATTAGAAAAAAAACCTTAAAACTTTTGGGTGTTTCATTCCCACCAGCCACTAATGCAGGTGGGCGGGTAGTCCCTCCGGACTACGCCGGAAGGTATGGCGGAAGGCCCTCTTCAGCCTGCTTTCAGGAATCGTGGGAATGGATGGGTGGTGATTCGGGTGAGAAAGATGAGACGAGCGAAATGAAGGCAGAAGAGAATGAAAGATTATCTGTGGAATATTTCTGCCACAGCATTTGTCTAAGTGATCCAAAGAAACCTCAGAAGAACTTGGATCAAGGCAGACGGACTCGGAATCGAACCGGCGTCCTCCCGAATGCTAAGCATTGGACTAAACCTCTAGGTCATGCCTCTTGGTCAATAGCTACATCGTCCCATATCTCCAACTATCTATAGGCCTTTCTTTGCCCCCCATTACACCTCCCCATCTTGCTTCCCATATGTACTTCACAAGCCCTTCAAGTCTCAAAAAGTGTCCTATATTCTTATATCCCTCTTGTTTCTATATCCTTTACCTTATGCCTACTGCTTTTTCATCTTGATTTATCGGACTTATGAGTATATCGAAAGTCGGCGATTTCTCCTAGTTTTCCATCTTCAATTTCCATAGTGGCTCTTTTGATTGTTCAACAGTTCAATTAGCATTTAGGTAACAACAAAATAATGAGAACTCAGTCTGAAATTCCAACTTTTTAAAACGTTTGCAGACCCGATTCCGTTGCGTGTTACAACAAATGACGCTTATTGCGTTTGAATCAGGTTGTTTTCTTGTTCATGTCTCCTTTAAATTGTCCGATTCTGTAAATGGAGCGTTCGAATCGTCGATGGAGAAGTTAAATCAGTGTCACTGTTTCTGCCTTACAAAGTGCTCCTCGAATGCCGCAGGTATGCAAAGTGCGAACTGGTACCAAGTGAAATGCCTAGTAATTGCTTCTTGAACGATTATGGAGTAAATTATTAGACCTTTGCATGCCGTGGTAATTAATCGTCGAACGCGTTCTTGAACTGAAAGGTAAATTTCACTATTCATTTGCAACAACAATAAAAAAAAGAGGCATCACATGGCTAAATTGAACTTTAGGAATTACTAATACGTAGGTACCTAGTCATTTTAAATTATCGTTATGGCTGTCTCAAACAGTAATGCAATATTGAATAAATCGAATTTCATTTGCCTATAGCTTTTATTCTGATCCTTGATTAGGAATCGAAACTGTAATGAAATATCAGATACCTACTTCAACGTATAAATGATACAGAATGTTAAAAAGCTTTTGAAATATGTTTGAGTATTAATTCTAAAAAAGGAAAATTAATATCCGGTAGCGCTCTCACTCAGAAATGCTAAAATGAAATAATCCTTAAAGTTTTCGGGTGATAAAGATGAATTTTCGTTTGTCAGTTTTTGAAGATTTATGAGCTTTTTAGTGAATGTGTCCTAGAAAATTAGTTAGTTATTTATGCCCAAATGCTTTACGACAATCATCATCTGAATGAAATTCTAGTAAAAAGCTTTAGTACCTGGTGGTTATAAGCCATGTCTAATAAAAGTTCCAGGATGTTGCGGATATCATGTGTTTATGCATTCATTACAATCAGATGTTGAACTTTTGATCATGTCATCATCATCATAAGGTCGTCAGTCCTAAGACTGGTTGGATACGCACCTCCACTCCTTCCTATCTTGACCTTTTCCTATTTCCCTAAAAATTAGAACATCCCACACCTTTAACTATTTGCGTAGGTCTACCTCTACTCCTCTTAACTCCTGTTTCTTTCTCTAATATGTCTGACCAGACCTTCATATACCAAAAATATTTAATGACATTTATTCGTTCAACTAAAGATCTTTAAATAAGCTATTCGAATAGAAACCAATCGATTAAAAGCTCTCTTTTTCAACTAACCAACCAAACCAAGCTTTTTACAACATA